CCTCGGTGGGACCCGCGGCCCCGCGCCGCGCCCGCGGCAAGTGTTCCTCCTTCACCTGGACCGGCCGCGGCTCCCTTCCGCCTCGCTCCCCCTGCCGGCCGCGCCGTCCTTACCGTGAGGCAGGAGGCCTGGCTGGGAGCCGGCCTCGGTGGACCCGCAGGGTTAGGCGCGGCCGCGGGTCGGGCGCTGCACAGGTCTGACTCCGCGCGGTGCACGGCTGGGGTCTGCGCTGGGCGGCCTGCTCCTTCGCGTGCGACGCAAAGTGAGGACAAGACCCGCATTTCTCCACGTCGGGGGTTGCCACATGGGGTCTATGATGAGACCATTTTACAGACCCTTAAAGCCGAGGCTCAGCTTTGACTAGCAACCGGTAGGTAAGGGGTAGGGGCCAGAAGCTGGGCTGCGTGCAGGAGGCTGGAGGGGCGGGACGGGGCCGAGGACATGGTCGCAGCCTTTGTCTTGCCCTCTGACACCTGAGCAGTGTCCCGCGTGGGTGCTCAGCTGCACCCTAGGACTGCCCCGGGAGCCATTTTCCGCCCCAACGTCTTGGGAGTTGCGTCTGAAGCAAGTCCTAATTTAGGAAGTTTTCTCCCCAGCGCCAGGGGCAGCCCCTGAAGAATCTTGGCTGCCTCCACTGTCTGCCCTGGGCACACGTGGCTCCCCCAGGAGAGCTGACAGACAGGCGTCCTCACCCCCGCCTCCCCCTCTTTGGGACCCCACTCCTCACTTCTCGTCCCTCCTAGCGCCGTACCCAGCCCTCGGAGTTCACTCAGCACCGGCTCTGTTCGCAGCCCTGGAGAGACCCGTGCATCCTCGTGCGTCTCTGGCGGGCCCCCAGCCCACCGCTTCGAGTTCGTGTGCTCCGCAGGCAAAGTGCGTCGGCCTGCGCCCCCAGCGCTGGTCCCAGGCCTGACACGCACATAGATGGGTCCGTGCCCGCGCGGCCGGCCCATAGGATGCCACCACCGGGAGTGGCACCCGGGGGTGTACCCTGCACTGGGGACCCCATCCTCCAGGAATCAGAGCGTGGAGGAGGCAGAACCGGTCTGCATCCCCCAGGGCGCTGAAGGAAGCAGAGAGAGGGGCCGAGCTTCACTTGACCCCGCTAATTGGTTTCAGGATTGATAGCCGGCAATTGCCTCCAGCGCCCGCCTGGACGCGGCCTCAGGGTCTGGAAGGAAGGCCCGCTGCCGCGGAGGAACAGCCTGCACTCGGCTTCCCTCTGCCGCCCTCAGCTGTTCCGTGCCTGGTCCCCGCCGCCCCGGAGGCTAGGCGCCTGAGGGCCAAGTCTCTCGACGGGGTGGGTGGGACCTGACTTTCGCTGGAGACGGGAGAGGCGGGCGCGCCTGGAGACTCTGTCCTCTCTTCCCGACTCCGTCCCCGGCGCTTGGCTCCCCGGCCGTGGCGGGCTCCTGCGTAACGACCTGAGCCCCTCAGGCGTGCCCCATCGTCCTTCCATCTCATCGCTTGGCCCGCGATGCTGAGATCGCGACATTCCGGGTGGCCCTCATGGGCGTGCACCGGCCAAGATCCCGAGCCCTGGAGGCGGGCGGGTGGGGTCCGCGCGCCCGCGCCGTTCACGGGGCCGTTTGGCTGTGGCCTCTCTCCCTTCTCCGGTCTCCAGCTGCTGAGCTGGGAGAAGAACCGCAGGCGCTGCGCGGCAGGGGAGGAGCGGGCGCGGGCGGCGCGGGGTCTGCGTGAAAGCCGGGGTCGCACGTTCCGCCCGCGCCTGCACGCAGCGCCGCTGGCGGGAGCATCGTCTGCGCATAGCGTTGGGTTTGCAGACCTTCGGCAGTTGCTGGGCCAGAACTGAGGGACTGCAGAGGTTCACGGTGTGGCCCAGAGCTGGGGCTGGGGGCAGGAGCGGTTCCCTTGGCCCGCTCCTGCATCAGCAGCCATGATCTCCTGAGCTGCAGCACATGCTGCCTGATGGGATGGAGAAATGAAGAGTCCTCCTCCCCAGCCTGGGGTCTCCGTGGGACTCCTCCCCAACCTGTTACTCAGGTGGCCTTTACTGCTCCTTGACCCTTCCCTCCCTTGGCTCCTCTCTGGGCAAGTTGGCACCCCTCTACTGAAGAGGACATCCCTGAAAAGTCCATCCCCAAGGTGTCTGCCTTGGTGTTAGGCAATTACCTAAAATGCTGGGGAGCGGGTACTCTGTGTCTGACCCTGAGCTATGTGGGGTGTGACAGAATGCAGGCAGGAGCCCTGCCTGGGAACCCCAGGCCCACAGTGGGGTTCACAAGGAGGACTGAGAATGCCGAGGAGGTGTCCAGGTGATCTGGCCAGCTAACCTGACCAAATTCTTGGTGAAGACCCAGGAGTTAGAAGCAGCCTGGTGTGCACAATCTTGCAGCTTGGAGAGGACAGTGGTCAGGGTAAGTTGTGTTGTGGCCAGGGAGGGGACTGGCCCCTCACACCACCCCACCCAAGGCATCATCTGGGAGTCTTCCTGGGCCCCAGTGCCACCTGCCTTCTGGTCCCTGGGCAGGGCCTGACCCATCTCAGAGTCCTAGTGCCTGGATCCTGGGGCACAGTGACTACGGGATGAACAAGGAGGGAAACTGAGACATTGAGAGAGGTGGACATGGGAGAGAGTGACGGGTGGGGAGAAAAAAAGACAGGCCAGCATCCTCAGGGCTGGTAGAGCATAGATCAGGCTGGATGGGTGATAGCACCCCTGCCCCCAACCCTGTTGGGCACCAGGGCCCCCTGCAGACTGGAAGTTCCCACATTCCAGAACAAACAAACAGACAGACAGACTGATGGACAGCCAGGCCCTGGACCCCTCTCTGATTTCTGAGCCTGTTGACTTAGCTGCCCACTTGGCGGGAGGACACAGCCCCATGGGGAGCCAGCTGTCCATTTGTCTGTCCATCTACTGGTCACACTCACCCCTCCACCCCAGGTGCTATCAGGCAGAGGTGAGGCTCAGAGATCCCGATGACTTATATTCAGGCTGGTGAGGTGACTGGATCTCTGCATATTGGGGGGAGGTGGCTGAGGAAACCAGCACCCCGTTGGCCTCCTCCCTTTTCCTCTGTGGCCACAGCAGGGGACAGGAGAAGGAACATGCCCCAAAAGATCCTGGAGGTGTGTTGGCTGAGGATGAGTGGCTAGAAGATGGACATTTTCAGATAGTTCCATCAGATCCCTCTGTCCAACAGGGGATCCCGAGTAGATAACAGCCCCCACCAGTCCATGCTTGGGCATCCACACCAAACACACATACTTGTGAGCATGGGCCTGAGTGTTCGTGCATGCACACACCGTATGCATATGTGAGCACATGCACATATGAGTGTAGGCACTCATGGGCATGTCTGCACACATGCACACACTGGACACAGACTTGGCGAGTGTGGGCATGTGCACACGCACACTGTACACAGGTAGACATACATGTGAGCATGGACATGCACGCACACTGTACACACGTGAGCATGGGCATACACTCTGGACACAGACACAGATACCAACATGGGAGAGTGCGCACCCACCAGCACATGCAGCACATATATGCAGATGTGCACATGTGCACATGTATCACTCATAGTGGCCACTGTAGCTCATCTTCAATGGCGATGACACTCATTTCAGTAAGTCAACTAGACCTTGCATTGACTTGACTTGGATGAAGCCCACGTGGAACCTTGGTGCTGTGTGATGAAGGAAGAATAAAATGTTTCAGTCTACTCATGTGGTGTCATTCCTTGAAAGTGACGCACTCAGGAGGAGGACTGATTGGCTGGGCTGATGCCCTGGACACTGGTACAGGAAGAGTCTCTCGTAATGGGATTGGTCAACAGAGAACCTTGTGGGTGGAACCACCTGGGAGGCCACTTTCCATGCTCAGACCCCCAACCCCAAAGCCAGCTTGGTGGTAAAACCAAGCCAGATTCTGGGAAGCTCTGAGAAGTAAGGAACTGGGGACACGGCCAGAGGTGATGAAATGACAGCTGAGCCAGTGACATCAGCACCTTTGTTAATTGAACCTAGTGTGCTTCCTATAGTCATTGGAAATGTTGTTTCTTTCCTTAAAGATGCTTAAAACATTTAAAATAAATATATCAAATTTGGAATTTTCATTAAATGTTCAATTAATTCACGCGGTCCACATATTCACCGTGACAGCCAAGTTAGACTATTTGGAGAAACTCTGTGTGGAAATCTGGTTCAAGTGCAGGGGAGGATTGGCCCTACGCCACACCCTGTGCCCCTCTTGGTCCACTGTGCTCCCTGGAAGAGCCCCCGGGGCTGCTGGATCGTCCCGTTAGCCCAAGCCTGTGCCCGGGTGCCTGGTCTGGCAGACGCCAACACAGAGACCAGACTCACGCCGAGTGTCTAAAGCGGTCTCTGCCCCTGGGAAGCAGAGCCAGAAGCCCTGGTGGGGCAGGTTTGCTGTGGCTGGGGTTTGCCAGCTCTGCCTGGTGTCCTGCATTTTTGTGGGGAGGAGCTGGGGGAAGGCTGACCAGAAGAAGGCCTGGAATAACATTTCAAAGGAGAACAGGACTCCTTCAGGCAGGGCCCCTGTGCCCGCAGTCATTCAGAGCAGGGAGGAACCAGGGGTGGTGGTGTGGCCCGGGTATTATGACCTGGGGCCAGGAATGAGCCTCATCCTGAAGGGCTGTGTCCGGGGACACACTTTGGCCTCTCCAAGCCTCAGTGTTTTCATCTGAGAAATAGGGAGAATGCCTGAGGCTCCACAGGGTGGATCGAGTGAACTCATGTTGCCTCTCAATCGTGGGGCCTCAGCTGATGTCACCATTGTTGCTGCCACCTTGGGCCTTCCCCAAATCCCAGCTGGTCCCCCCAGCACTGTGTGTAGAGTGACTTTTGCCTCCACTGCTCCTGTGGAGCCTCCAGGCCTGGCCTGGGGTTTGGGGAGGAGGTGTCTGGCTGTGCCCCTGGGAAGCCCAGTTAGGCACCTTCTGCCTAGCTTCCCCACCTGGCTTATGTGCTTGGACTCAGCCTTGGTTTCCCCATGTCCACATGGCGTGCCCCAGCCCCACCCCAGCCTTGACAAATCTCTTTCCTCCTCCAAAGCTCTGCTGAATCAGGTTGGAATTTCTCAAAAGCAAACAAACAGGCAAGCTCAGAGTTGCGGTTTTCAGAGCTCAGATTCCTCCCGGGTCTGTCTGAGCCAGCATCAGTCCCGGCCAGCTGCCCCGCGGCAGGCTGGACAGGCCCTCTGCTGGCCCCCTGGCCCACTGGATGCTGGACCTGAGCAGGGGTTCAGTTCAGAGCCTGCCACCACAGACAGTGCTGGGCTGGCCCAGTTACCCCTGAGACCCAGCAAGGACCAGGAGGCTGCAGCCCGCAGGGTCTGGGCCTGGATCGACAGGGCAGGAGGTGAATGGGACCCACTGAGGGGACAGTGGCTGGTGATGGTGCCAGTGCTGAAGCACAGCAGGCAGAACTGGGGGGCATGGAGGGTGAGGATTGGAGGGGCTGGGGTGTGGGCTGCAGGGGAAGGTGGCCCAAGGCGGCTGTCATGGCGGGTGGAGATGTTGCAGAGGCCAGTGCGGGGCAGGACGTGGAGGCTGCGTGGGAACGTGGCGGGGAGAGGCGGGCCAGGATGGGAGGCCATCTCGAGGGGCCATGGGGGCTAAGAGGGAGGGCTGGGATGAGGGGAGGGGCGGAAAGGGGCTCTCGCCAGGTGGTCTTAATCTCCTTAGTGAAATAGGAGTCCTGGGGGTGGGCGGGCAGGGGAGGTGGGAGCTTGAGACAGCTGCGGGGAGAGGGACGGGCCTGACAGCCAGAGGCCCCGGCCGGGAGCCCCGGCCTGCCAGTCCCACTCCCTGAGTCAGTCCGCGGGAAGGGTCTCTGAGCTGAGACTCGGGAGCCGGTTCCTCCACCCACCCCGCCTCCCTTGGCCTCTTCTGCCTTTGCTGAGATGATTTCAGTGGCCGAGAGGGTCTGGCATGCATCTGTGTGTGAAGGGAGGTCACCTGGGCCCTTCCTGCTCTCTTAGCAGCCATTGGTGACTGGGCAGGACAGAGGTCAATTTTGCTTCTACTGAAGCCCCCCCCTTTGGGTCCCCACTAAGCTGTTGATGGCTCTGATGTAATGACAGTGGGGTGGTGAGGCGTGGTGCAGGGAAGCAGCAGGAGGGGCCTCTGGCCGGGCCTGGACTCCTCAGCTTCCTCCAGCCAGCCCAGCACAGGAACCAGAGGACAGAGAAGAGGGCCTGCCCCTCTCAGGACTTGGTCTGTCTTCTACACACCGAAGGGCCTCCCAGAGATGGGGAAACTGATGCTGAGAGGGGGTGGGTGGAACTGGCCCCAGCCACCAGGCAGCAGGGACAGGAGGAAGCATGGGCAGCGCAGAGGTGCCGGCTGCCCCATCCTTCTAAGTGGGTGCTTGGCACCAGCTGTGTTGGGTGGACAGACAGAGGGATGTGAGCTTTCACTGGTTCCCCAAAGCAAATCCAGCTCCTCCCCCCAGGGCATTTTCCAGGACCAAATGACTGGCAGCTGCCCCATAATGGGCAGGGGTGTGGGTGGACACCGGGCTGTCTCGGGCTTTGCTGTCTCAGGCTTTTGCCAGTTCCTGGGGCTAATGTGTGTGTCCAAGGTACCCAGTGCAGCTGGGGAAACAGAGGCAGTGCCCCCTAGAACAGGTGGGGCAGGAGCATGTGAGGCTTCCCAAGGTCAGCCAGGCCTGCAGGGCTCTCCTTGGGACTCTGAGGCCAGGGCCCCTTCCTGCATTGCCTGACTGTCTCCCATGTGGTTCCCATGTGAATGAAGGCTCTGGCCACGTGTCCCCTCCTTCTCAGCTTGGTACCCTACCCCCACTACCAGTAAACCAGGCTGCACCCCCCTACACCTGCTGGGCCCTGTGCCCTGCTGGTGCTGCTGCCTGTTCCTCAGGGCTGTCAGGGCACGCTTGCCCCAGAGCATTTGCAGTATGTCACTTCCAGGCCAGGCTCGGGGTCAGCAGGGCTTGGGGGGCCAGGGAAGTTAACTCCGAAGGAGATCAGCCTGGCCCATGTATGTAGTGCAGTAGTGAGTAGCAAGGCAAGACCAGGATGTCTTGGTGAGTGGCCTTGAATGTCATCAAGGGGGTGGCATATGAGACAGGCTAAGCCAGCCCTCATGAGCCAGAGGCTGGGCCCAAGGACATGGGCTGGGCTGGGGTCTCTGGGCCCCAGGGAGTCAGCCTACACTGGGGGGTGAAGGCAGGACTGGCTCAGGAGCCGAATCTCTCCAGACTCCTTCAACTTAGCTCCAAAGAGAGTTCTCTCATGCGGCCACAAATGTCACTACTCTGCCAAGCTCCTCCCCCATCTCTGTACATTCAAGACAAGATGACTATTAGTCACTCCCACCTTAGAGTGAATTTTTGCAATCAGATTCTTTCCTAACATCTGCTACAACCAGCCAGAGTCTTAATTCAGGGCAGAGTACCTTTCAGTCTGGGAAGATAAAATAGGGCAATACCCTAAAAACATCTGCAGGGCTGTCCGGGAGCAAAGGAAGCGGCCCAGGTCTAAGGGAAGAATAGTTCTGGAAGGAGGTATTTGCTCCCAAATGAAGAAGAGCTATGCAATCATCGGAGATGCCTGGGAGGTAAGCAAATGGGGTGCCCAAAGGGGGAGGAAGGAGACCTGTCTCCCCTGAGGGTAGCGGGACACTGAACTGTGGGGACTGAATCTTAAAGGTGTTTTCTTGACTCCAGCACTGGGCTTTTGGCTTCGCTTCCGGGGACAGAGTCCTCTTTGGACACTTGGTGCGAGTCTGGTCTCTGCACTGGAGTCTGCCCTGGGAGCAGGGCCCAACAGCCCCTGGCCTAGACGCTGTGGAGTTTGGAGCTCTCTCTCCTTCTCCACAGGCCCTCCTTGGTAGCCCAGGACTGGGAGGAATGAAGAGTGACCATATTATGGATCAGGGACTAAGGGCAGAGGTCTGAGGCTGCAGCGGTAAAAGACATATCCCAATTCAACCCAGCGGTGCCTTAGGGGAGTTGCAAGGAGAAGGGATAAAATGATTGGTGGGTGCCTAGCATGTTGTCAGCAAATTATGCCTGTTATGTATACCTTGTATGCACATTTATGTATGTATAGTTATAGCTTTATATAATGCAAATTATACTTTTACCTTCATGAAGCAGCAAGTATCATTGTGTAGGTGTCAAGGACACTGCCCTGGGGTCTAGACACCAGCCTTTTGGTACAGGATGTCACCTCCTCCATTCTACATGTGCTGCCTCTCATAATATGGCCTTGGCTCTGATCTTGAGGCTGGACATCTCCAAATCAGTGCCCAGGCCCTTGCAAATCTCCTGGCAGTCCGTCCTCCATCTAACAGTTGGTCTTCTATGGCCTGGACCTAGCCCCAGAGCCACCCCCCATGGCCAATGTGGAGAGCCAAGATCAAGCATCTTGGATTTCAGATGGGGGACCCCCCACCTGGTGACAACTGACACCTGAGCCCACACTACCCAGTGGCAAGGGGCAGGGGTGAGTGACCTGGCTGGAGACAGCCGCCCTGGGAACAGTCAGAAAATTCCAATGTCACTACCCTGGTGCCAGAGGGGAGACTGAGGCACAGAATAGAGCAAGGCTATGGGCATCTACACAGAGCCTTTATGAACCAGGGTTCCAGTCACATCCCAGCCTGGCTCTGCCCCTGGTGCCCTGCCCATCCCTGCCATCCACCGCCCGCCCAGGCAGAAAATGACCATTTCCTCCAGCCTCTGCCCCAGGGAGTGACACGGAGCTGGCAAAACAAACACGCCGTTCCTCCTGTGGCTGCCGACTGGTGATGGATGGCCAGAGGGGCTGGCTGTGCTGATGGACGACCGCCCATCATGTGTGGGCCGGGGGTGGGGCCAATCCAGGCCTCGGGCACAGACATGGACACATGCTCATGAGTCGAGGGGCTGGTCTAGCCGCCCCGAGACTCTCCTGGGCCAGAGACCCAGAGGGACTGAGACCTAGGCACATTGGTGTGGTGAGGATCGTAGTCCAGGCCTCCATTGTGGGCAGGGGACAAGCCAACATATGTGAGGGTGGGGTCCTCCATGGCCCCTCCTCAGCTCCTACCAGTTGCCCAAGGGCAAGTGTCCTCCCCCACCCCTTTGCACTCTGGGCCTGCTGGGCAGGGATCCTCTGAAGCCTTTACCAGCACCTGAATGTGAATGCATGGGCCTGGCACCTGGTAGGGGAGTATAGGCCCTGGAGGGGCTGGGTCCCCAAGCTCAGGGCGGAGTTGGGTGGGCACACCAGGAGGGCGATAGCCTGAACCAAAGCGAGGCAGTAGGGTCCAGGGTCTTGAGAATCTGACAGGATCCAGCCCACCCTACACTACCCCAGAAGGCTCCAGTAGTTCTTGGCCCATCAGCCCAGCTCCAGTTCACTGTCAGCCTCTCTGCCTGTCTGGTGGGGCCAGGGATTGTCACCTCATTGTACAGATGAGCAAACCAGCCTGAGGGGAGGTCTAGCTGGAGGGAACCCAGGCCCAGGCTGAGGCGGGCCTGTTGTGTGTTCCTGAGCCCTGCCACACCGACCTGGTGGCCCCAATGACCCCCAAGTGCCACGCCTCCAGACTGGGCCAGGCTCAGAGCCTTCCAGTCCTGACTGCTGGCCACCTGCAGTGGCCCGAGGGATACCCAGCTACCCAGCCTGAGGCCTGCTGCAGCACAGGCCACCCAGCTGGTGACTGGCTGGAGAGGAAGGGGCAGCTGTGGCCAGGCCTCTGACCCTCCGGCTGCCCAGCCCTGCCGAGAGCATGTCTGGCTGAGAGGAAGCTTCCAAGACCCCCATTTCCTGAACCTCAGAGTGGTCTGGGGCCGCCACTTCCGTCCAGAGCCCCCAGCCCTCCCTTCGCTCCTCCAACCCCAGTCCCACAGCCCCACAATCCCCCACTATGTGTTTCCTGCTGCAGAGGTTAGGGAGGGGAGTCAGAAGAGTGACTGGAGAGCTACCCAGATCTGGGGTGGGCAGGGGCAGGAAGCCCCATTGAATAGAGTGTAGAAGACCTGATGGGTGAGGGCTGAGCTGAGGAGTAACCTCACCTGGAGACGGGGCTGCCCACGGAGCAGGGTTGTGACCTCTGCCAGTAGGAGCCATTGGATCCAGGCTAGCCCACCAGTTCAAGGCCAGCCCCTGGGGTTGTGGCCAGGATGAAAGCCCAACGCAGCCATCAGCTTCCAGAGCTGGACAGGGATGGCTGAGGCCCATGGTCCCCCACCAAGATGGGCTGTGGGAGCAGCAGGGAATGCAGGGATGTCTGAAGGAGGGGTCTGTGGTGCCAGGGGAGGCTGGTGCCTTCCTCTGACTCTGGCTACTGGGTGAGGTGGTAGGGTCCTAGGTGGAGGCTCTCAGGCCCTGAAGTCTGGTGAGTTCTGACTGCCTGCCAGTGGGGTGAGGCCACAACACCTTGCCCTCCATGCTGTGGGGGGCAGGAAGTCTGGGGTCTGGCCAGGCTGGCAGAATAGGGGGCAGAAACAAGACCCACACA